CCGAGGAGGGCTGGGGCTGTGCAGGGATGGCCGCGGAGGGCTGGGGCACAGGTTACACCGGGCCGTCCCCAGGGAACCCCGGTGCGCAATGCCCAGGTCTCAGTCCTCGATGGCCACCCCGGCCACGCAGACGCCCTGCAGGCAGTCTCCTGGGGAGACGTGTGCCACGTGGAATCCATGGCCTCTTTCCCCTCAACATCAACAAATGCTCGTGAGGAAGCGTTTCTGTCGTCTGAACTCTCCATGCTCCCACAAAAGAAGCAGGTGGTCATTACAGCGTGTGATGTGCAGCATGCGTATGCATGGGCTGCGATTAGAGAGAGACGGGGCGGGGGGGGGGCACAGGGAGGGAGAGAGAGAGAGGAAGGCAGGGGACAGGAGGGGGGCAGAGAGAGACAGAGGGAGAGGAAGGCAGGGGACGGTCTGTGAGGTTCTCGCGTGTCTGAGGGGGAGGAACGGCTAGAACACGCGGCTGTGGGGCCGGCACGCACACCCTCCAGCCTTGCTCTCCACCAGCCACATGTGACCTGCCGTGCTCAGGGTGAACTCAGCCGTGACAGGCAGGTAGGGGGCGGTCCCTGTGTGAGGGATTCTGACCTGCGGGCCCCTGAGCTGCTGTTGGCAGGTGCTGGTCTCTCACAGCCCCGCCCAATCCCGGGCTGCCCGAGGCAGCTCTCCTCACCTCCATCCACAGCAGCCAAGCACCTGGCCCGGGGGCGAGGCTGGAGGGCCAGCCTGGAGCACCTGCCGGGCTCAGGGTCGGCCAGTCCAGCCTCCCCAGATGCACCCCCGAATCATCTCAGCTCCCGCGTGGGTAACACAGACCACAAGAACTGGGGGACCCCCAGTGCACCCCTGATGGGGAGAGTCAGCCGTTTCGCCGGCTGTGCTGGTGGCTGTCTAGACAGGCCTCAGGAATGTCTCCCGAGAAAGCGCCCGCCGCAGCGGGCTGGCTGGTCCTCCCGCAGCCGGCGCCCCGAGTCCACGGAGCCGATCACTGG